ATTATTCCTCGCTGACTGGACTTTTCTTTAAAGGTTCAGGGACCTTATTTCTCAAATGTATATGGCAGTAAGTCACGTTTGTTGCATACAAAGGTTTTAACCTACGACTCTTTTTAAAATGTATTTCATTGAAATATTTCTTACTTTAATTGATTTAACTGGACTATTTATTTATTTACTTTATGAATTTTACTGTTTCCTCTTTAATATGAATTGTCAATTAGTATGAACTCATTCCAATTGCTTTAACTTAGTTTAAAGTTGTACGGAAATGGTTGTTCCAACTGCTGCTACTGCTGTGAATAAAGTGAATGTGATTGGTCGATTATCAAGGGGGCGGGATTGTTGTGGAGGAAGGTTCGTAAGCAAGTTTGGCTGTAGCTGGTTTGTCAGAAGCATCTTGCTAAGCAGTTAGCAACTTAGTGCTAGCAGGTTCCCAATGGGAAATTCCATTGGGACCAAGTAGCACTAAATTGGTGACTTAGAAACGACGCTGTCAGGGAACGCTATGGACAGCGGAAACATGCAAGAGGAGGAGAGTTTAGTGTCGGAGGTCGTGGATGAGTCTCCTCCGTCATCCATTTTTTATTTAGAGGAGGAAAGCGGGGACGAAGATGTTGTGGAAGAGGACGCCAGGGCGGCAGAAGCTTGGTTTGGTGTAGAAGGCTTCCAGCCGTACATGTTTGAGCCCTTGCCTCGCAGCGCTGCCAGTTCTGTTAGCTCTACGCCTGCCGAAGACACAGACGTCCATCCCCGTGAACACTGGGACGCAACTCAATGGGAAAGGAAAGGATTCTGATTTCAACCGTTGCGTATATTAGCTGCAACACATGATTTGATCAAATGTGATTAACAGATGACTGTTGATATATGATTGGCCGAATGTAGGTCAGGCTGACATAGAACTAACTGGGCTGCAGAAGATAACGAAAAAACCCACAGATTTTAAGACAGGATTGTCTGACAGTCCGATAAATGTTTAAGCCAGAATGATTTGACATTTAAAAATGATTTCGCAACGATTTTAAAAGCTAACCTGACCTAATTGTAAACATTATAAGATCAACTTTGGTCCTCAAATATAAGATCCATGCAGAACCATATGATTGCTTCGTTTTACCATTTATGGTTTTCAATATTTTTCATTTGCCTTGTTGGGTGTGTCCATTGTAGCCCAGTTGTTTAATTGAGTTCCACAAGTTAAGGACTTTTAACTGAAGTATGATTGACTTGAAAATGATTATTTTGTTAAAAAATTCTTACAATCTTATTATATTTCATATGCAAACAGAGTTTAATGTTTAATGACGAGGATTTGAGCTCGATTCACTTTCATCTGTGATCCCAACTGCCAGTTGGGCGTCGGTCCAAAACTTATAATAAATATCATGTAATCAGCAGCAGCCACAGCAGTAGCTAATATCAACATTTTCTTTGAATTGTATTTATCTAAGCATGATAGAGATGCTGTTGTCATGGGGACGCCTCAGGGTGACCGTTAAACACCCAACCTGTCAATCAGCTGGATGTCTAAACACTTTGTTTTCTTCCATCGATAGCAGGCTTAACGCAGCTATTTATGGACATGCGTGATCAAATCCAACTTCTCGGATTAATCATCACCTCTGAATCTTTTGGAATGAATCTGCGGAGCCGCTGCTATTTTCTGTAAGTGCAACCGGGTCTCTTTGAGGAGTTTCCATGGTGCGCAGACTGATCCATATTTCCATGATTTAAACAGAGATGATTATTTACAGTTTAAGCCCTTGTCACAACTTGACGATTCAGACCAGCGTATGCCTGACGAATTAAAAATATGGCAAAAATACTAGCATACCTAGATAAGTTATGGGTACGTTTTGTATAAGTTATGAGCATGTTGAAGCACACTGAAATATGTCAACATATGACGGGTACGTTGATACGTATGTCGACGGCTGTCATGCGTGGGTCATCAGTTCCAGGTCAGTTATCCAGTGTTGCCAACTCCTCAGTAAGGAAAGTAGCTATTGGCTGTGCTAAAAGTCGCTAGAAGTCGCTAAATGACGTCATTGTCTAATTTGCATAATCTGCCACAGGAAGTGATGTGCATGTTATTGATGCTGTGGGAGAAATAATGTCGTTACAGAAAGACAAAAAGTGAGTAAAAACACTAGGGCTGCAACAACGAATCGATAAAATCGATAAAAATCGACTTTTAAAAGCGTTGGCAACGAATTTCATCATCGATTAGTAGTGTCGCGTGATTAATGCGTCATCAGCCGCCGTGGGGCGCCTCCCCCATCCCAACCCCGTTCTCCCGCAGGAGTCCCTCTCAGCGCTGCAGTCAGAGCCGCGGGATGTTTACCCTCAGCGTCCAGACTGCAAATGAAGCGCGCATGCGCCGGGATTGACGGCGCAAATTGATCACAATAATTAAAATAGCCTGCGCTTTGTAAAGTGAAAAAAGTCGTAACATGCAACTTTTGTAAAAACAAATGAACATGGCACAGAAGCACCGCTGTTATGATGCAGCACCTGAAAAGGAAACACGTTGGAGCCTTTGATGGCAGTGAAGAGAGCTGATCAGCAGGGTGAGCGGCCATGTTTGTTTGGTTTTAAAGTGGGGAAACGTAACGTTAGTTTCTCAGGTAGCTCATCTGATGCTTTCCTTACCGTGTTAGTAGGTTACAGACAGTGATAAGGTTGGCTACTTATTTTACTTTTAATTTCATTTGAATTAGCTTAAGCAGCGTTTATATTTTCTTTATAAATAAATTAATTTGCAAATTATGAGGGCAAGGCTTTTAAAGTTTAAATCTTCTGGCAAAGATAAAGTAAAGAAGATCCTGCAATTTATGGAAGTAAAGCAGAATAAAATCCAGCAAGATCAGTAATATGTCAATTAATTATCTCCCACATTCCCATGTAAATATCTGTCTTTGGAGGATGTGTTTTTTAGCACCCCTAGTTCTCTCATTTTTATTCCAAATACAATTTATAATTTGAATCACAGGGCTATTTTTATCTCTATGGTTCAGTATTTTCTCAAGCAGCAACTTTAACTGCTATACTTTCCTGTCTTAAAAGGCAGAACTCTTCTAGTCTAAAAAAACTAATTTGTTGAAATGGGGGGGCCTATTGTTTGAACCCCTTAGGGGCTTTTAAAAACAAAAATGTCTTTTTTTGCGCTTTATGAAACAAAGTAGCCTATATTTTGTGGATGTACAGCAACATTTCTCATGTAAGTTTGCGTAGTTTTAACACAAATTTATTTTTCATATTGCACCAGTACAGTTAATGAGCAACCTGTACTTGTGTGCTTGTTTGTTCTGTCTAAAATGTTTATTTTGGAATAAAGAGGTTAATATAAAAAATATTTTATGTCCGATTCATCGATTAATCGAAAAAAATAATCGACCGATTCATCGATTTTTTAAATAATCGTTAGTTGCAGCCCTAAAAAACACTATATAATAGTGTTTTCACTCACTTTACTAAATATATATTTAGACCAAATAACATTTTACATTCACATCCCGCTCGTTCCCGCCTTGGATGTAAGTCAGGGCGGAGCGGCACCGTTGATCAATTTGCGCCGTCAATCCCGGCGCATGCGCGCTTCATTTGCAGTCTGGACGCAGAGGGTAAACATCCTGCGGCTCTGACTGCAGCGCTGAGAGGGACTCCTGCGGGAGAACGGGGTTGGGATGGGGGGCGCCCCACGGCAGCAGCTGCCGCTGGAGGAAAGATACATGCTTTCACGTAAGAGTCTCCAAAATCCGCCAGTGACACCGTAAAAAGTCGCCAGATTTGTCGCTAGTCGCCTTTTTGAAAAATAGTCGCTGGAGGGGTCTGAAAAGTCGCTAAATATAGCGACAAAGTCGCTGAGTTGGCAACACTGCAGTTATCTGATAGTTGACATCCGTTCAGTGTCAGTTCCTCATCAGTCGTGGCGTCTATCTTATCCTCTGAGTAACTTCTGCATAACTTATCCAGAACTTCTCTCCAGCGCATATCAGCGTATCTGCCGTGTTCCAGACGAGCGCTGAACGTGTTTCTAACTTCCAGCTACTGTATAATGGCGTATTGGCAGCGTTTTGGTATAAAGGGGGTTCACAGGAGGAAGCCGTCAGTTCTCCTCCAGACTTCATCCCCATCATACGGGGAGCCAGAAGGTGAGTGATGGATCCTCCCTGCATTCAAACTTCCCAGCAGACATGACGCTGAATCTGCTGCCACCAAAAACTTTCTCCCTTTTTCTTTGTTCTTCTTTTTTTTTTTTGTGGCGGGAGGTAAACAGCAGCTAGGTTAATACAGCGATCAGATCTTTTTAGGCGTGGCGCCTCCGGGCGCATCGCTGCCCCCCGTCAGGCGCATCTCTGCTTGCAGCTTTAACTGATGCTTGTGCTTCATTTCCTGGGCATTACGCTGCCGTGCGTTCTGCAGAAGTTAGGCTGTCGTTGGAAATAAGTTCTGGACTCGTTACGAATACTCTATGTATACACCCGAAATAGAAAAAAAAGATAGAAAGTTCAGCGTTTGCCATCGTTTTAGGAGATTCTGGGACATTGGACATACGCAGGCTAAATCGGCCAGGTGGGACAGGAGCCCTTACATCCAACAGAGGCTGTTTCCAACCCGTTAATGTGCTGATAAAGATTAATTTGATTCAGCTTTGTATTTTAAATCATAGAAGCTCAAACTGATGAAAGAAAAGACATCAGGTCTGATGCTCCCAGTTATTTAATCAAATAGTTTCATCTTTCATTTTATTGGTTAAGTATTACTGCGGAATTAAAAAGTTCGATGTTCCACATCAGGCTGTAATCATGAGGCTCCAGAACTTTTCCTCTATTCCTCCTGCTGAGGAGCTGGAATCATTCCTCATTTATTCAGTTGAGGTTAGATCTTCATCGTTGTAAAAACCAGAATCGTTTAGGTATGGCCTGACGTCTTTTATAATGAAATCCCAGGGTTCCTTTGATCAGCAGGTTTCTCCTCACCTTCTCCTCTCTTACCTGAGATGTTGATGAGGGTGGTGTCCAGTTTGCCTCCTTTAGGAGAAACAAAGCTTTCGATGAAGGTTGGAGCTCCGGTCCTCCTCATCCTGGACAAACTGACTTTCACAAACTCCAGGTTGATGCACAGAGAGTCTTTCCTTCCGGTAACCGAGGACGGCTCGTCATCTAGAAGAGACAGACATGAACGTCCTGCTGCTCTGCGACAAAGCTGACATCACGTTAAAGGAGCGTTTTCCCCCGAACCTAACGGTCCTGGACCCGGAGGCAGGCCTGTGACGGCTGATTTCTGCTTCCCGGCGCCGTAGGGATGGAAGACGTAGAGGGAGAAGTCCGACATGCAGGCGGTGAAGCTCAGGCCCGAGGAGTTGGTGGGGGGGCCCGTGAGGTCCGACTGGCTGCTGCTGTGGCGGCTCCGGCCCAAAGGGCTCCCCAGGAGCGGAGACGCTGGAGGAAACCCAACACACCGTTAGCTTAAACACCATCAAAGCTTCCCAGCATCAGCGAAGGGCCACTGACCTTTACTGGGGGGGACCTTGGGGACGTGCTGCCCAGGCGGAGTGGACGTAGGGGGGTGGGATCCCTCCATGGGGTTGGCTGCAGTTGGGGTCTCCAGTTCTCCGCGGTTAGAGGAGAACACCAGGTCTAGAGAGGGCAGCTTGAGCATGCACTCCACCCTGGACATGGGCAGGCAGCTGAAGCGGATCTGAGAGGGCTGGAAGCAAACAGAAGCCATGAGGTCAGAGAGCAGAACCGCAGCATCGGACCGGTGGTTCTGCTCGCTCTTTACAACAGGGAACAGGTGAGAAAACCAAAAGTAGAGGCAGGCTGATGCGTGCGTTCTCCTGTTCATTAGAGCAGCGCTCCCCAACCTTTTTTGCACCACGGACCGCTATATGTCAGACAATATTTTCACGGACCGGCCGGTGGGGGTGGGGGGGTACTATCAAGTAAAATGATACGACTGGCATAAAATTAAATACAAACAGCATAAAATTAAAACAACAAGCCGGTCCCATCTAGGCGTAATCGGAGACAATGGCAGACGAAGCCTGCACCGTAGCTTTGCTTTGGTCGCTGTAACCGCAGAAAATCTGCTTCACAAAGATAGGATGTTATAAATAGGATGAGTCTTTACCTGAATTAACCTGTGTCAAGAGGCACAGATGCACCGACTGATGTAATTGGGAGAGAATACCGCAATTTTTTATATTTTTCAAAATAAAACATCACTCAGACTCTGATTGTCGATATATTACATATATATACATATATACATATACATACATATACACATATATACATATACACACATATATACATATACACACATATATATATATATACACACATATATATATATATACACACATATATACATATACACACATATATACATATACACACATATATATATACACACATATATATGTATATATATATATACTAGGCTTGTCCCGATCCGATCCACGTATCGGATCGGACGCCAATATTGGCAAAAAAATGTGTATCGGCAAACCATGTAAAAATGCCGATCCAGTTAAAAAACAAAACCGGTCCGTATTTTCCAGTTTCGCCGATTGAAACGATCCATTCCACTATATTGCACGTGTTCCCCGAATCTGGTCCGCATTTTCCAGAACACCTTCAACACACCCACAGGTCTTTTTGGGTCTGTCTCCCGGCCTAACCATTAAAACAGGTGAATTGGAAGATAGCGGGGAAAATGTCAGCCGTGTGGGATTATTTTATCCTGCACGATGTGTAGATGGAGACTAGGTGTGGAGGACATTGGGGAGTATAAGGCATTTTTGTGTAATAGTTCACTATTATTTGCACTGATTTTTTTAAGCAGTCTTTTTTCAAGAGTAGAGTCCTGATTCTAAGTTAATAGAATATTTTCCACTCTTGTCTGTTTTGCATTTTTATTAAAACTTACAGTAATACTTGCACCTTTAACTGTTTACGGTTTTACTGTTCACTGTGCAATATAAGATTGCTATTCATAATTTTGTCCAGTTTGTGTTTATCTCTTAATAAACAGGTAAGTTTGTTGTTACCAATCATTGTGTTTTATTCAATCTCACCTAATTCAGCTGGCTAGAAACTTAAATACATGCTCGGATAGGCTGGTATCGGCCAGTATCGGTATCGGATCGGAAGTGCAAAAACCTGGATCGGGACATCTCTAATATACACACATACACATATACATATACATATACATATATATACATATATATACATATATATATATATATATATATATATATATATATATATATATATATATATATATATATATATATATATATATATATATATATATATATATATACACAACTGCTGCTACCTACATTTGTTCCAAAAAAGTTAAAATCGATCCACTGGACTTTGTTTCCAAGTTTGAAGACGTTTCTCTTCCATCCAGGAAGTTTTTTCAATTCAAAATGTCAGAAATATCGTTTAGTTCCAGGTTTTATCCAGCAGCCCAACAAAACCTGGTTTTTGTTTAGAAAACATGCAAATAGAAACGGATGAACGTTGGAATGGGGGGTGGTTTGGGTTCTTTGTTAGCCTGCAATGCCCCATACCTGTCTATTACCCCATTTACACTACCCTTGAAAAACCGTGCCGAGACCGGTTCGAGTTCAGTAACTGAGATAACTTATGGTGTGTAAATGGAAAGCAAACTGAACTGAGCCAAGCTAACTGCAGACCAGTTCCAGAGGTGGGCTCGGCTCGGTTTTTCCCTGGCTCGGTTCTCTGATAACGAGAGCGCATGAGCAGAACGCGTCATCGCCGTCTGGCTGCACATCGCGATTCACACTCCATTCCAGTAGGTGGCGATAATGCCCCTCCGGAAACAGAAGAAGAAGAAGAACTTCTTCTTCAACTATAAACAACAATCGAAATCTTCTCCACGCAACATTTTAAACAATAACGCTGAAGTACAGCAATAATAATCAAGCATAACTTTCTAAATGTGACGGGCGCCGCCATTTTGATTTGCTTGATTTCCTCCTCCTTCGTCTTCTTCTTCTTGTGTTTTATGGCGGTTGGCAAACAACTTTTGGTGCATTACTGCCACCAACTGCTTGATTTCCTCCTTTAATACTGGCAGTAATACCGCAGATCGTCACTAGGAGCCGAGGAGCCGAGATAGCGTGATGCGTAAACGGTCGTCAGAACCGAGCTCGGCCTGGTTAACTGATCCGAGCTCGGACCGGTCTCGGCAAGGACTGGTTTTTCAAGGGTAGTGGAAATGGGGTATAAGTCTCTGAAAGGGGGGTGGTTGAAGGGCATTGTTGGCCTGGTTGAACGTAGGACTGTGAACGCAGCGCCGTCTGCTGTGAACGCAGCGCCGTCTGCTGTGAACGCAGCGGCGTCTGCTGTGAACGCAGCGGCGTCTGCTGTGAACGCAGCGGCGGCTGCTGTGAACGCAGCACCGTCTGCTGCACCGTCTGCTGTGAACGCAGCGCCGTCTGCTGTGAACGCAGCGCCGTCTGCTGTGAACGCAGCGCCGTCTGCTGTGAACGCAGCGGCGTCTGCTGTGAACGCAGCGGCGGCTGCTGTGAACGCAGCACCGTCTGCTGCACCGTCTGCTGTGAACGCAGCACCGTCTGCTGTGAACGCAGCACCGTCTGCAGCACCGTCTGCTGTGAACGCAGCACCGTCTGCTGTGAACGCAGCATCTGGCTAAACTCAAAACATTTAGCATCGTTATCAGCTTAAAAAAACCAAAACAATCAATAAAATCTGTGACCGCGTCGCTGTGATCAACCAGGAAATGTATATAAAAAGAAAAAGAAAACTGCTCCCGTTTGATCAGGTTGAAGGAAAGCGAGCGCTGCAGCGCATCCAACTACTGCAGGCTGAGGATTATGGGAAATAACCAAAGCCAACCCTGTTTGATAAATCAACCTTTGGTGCAGCAGGACTCAGAGGAATCCAGAGATTTAGTGTTGATCAGTTTGTTGACGGTGGAGGAGCTAAAACATTAGTTTGTGTTTGAAGGTGGAAAGATCTAAACCTTCTTCAACAGCTTTAAAACAAAATCAGCTCAAAGTTTGACAGCATTTCTGTTCGTTCTGGTCAATATTGGGGCGTTGAAGTCCGTGTGGGTCGTACCTGAACTCTGACATAGACGACCACGTCTACAGGGAACGAAGAGTAGGCGGAAGTGGAGGAGGAAACCAAGGAGGTTGTGGATTCCTCCAGAGGTTCCACCGGCTCAAACTGGCCCATGTCCTCCTCCTGGGTCGCCGCTGCGGCAGAAAGACACACACAGGACGGTAGGAGGAGGAGAAAAGGATCCACGCAGACTCTTAAAGAGACAAACCGACCGACCTGTGTAGCTTCTGTCCACAGGAGTGATGGGGATGGTCTCCAAGGCTTTCTCCAGGAAATCCAGCAGAGCCGGGCTGATGACCATTTCCTCCGGCAGAGTCTGAAGGGCCACCCACGCGTACAGCTTGGCCGTCTTCACCCCCCCAACAGTCTTAGCTTTGGCTGCAGAAAGACAGAGCAGAGATTCAGCAGCAGGAAGACCTGAAACCTTCAGGACTATCTTGGTCCACATGCACCCCCCCCCCCCCACCAATCACTGCCCCGGTTACTGGAGGGAAACCGCATGCAGCCTGTTCCAAAGCTCCAATGGAGAGCAGATTACAGATGGTGCTACAGCATGCAACCACAAACACAAACACTCTGTACCTGTAGCAATAGGTGGGGGCGGGGGAGGTAGGAGCGAGTTAGTCTTGCTTTGGGGAGGGTTGATAGGGCCGCTATCTTTCATACCATACAGCTTGGACTCTTTGGAGAGCGTGCGGGGCAGAGAGGATCCCCGCGAGGCGTTGGGAGACTCCGTCTTCAGGGTCTTGGAGTTGTAGTGCAGCTTCAGGAGAAGACAGAAAGATGAGAACCCCCCCCCCAAAAAAAGAAAAAAAAAACCCAGAGCCGTCTGGGTGTTTAGAGAGGCCCTGACCTTCACGTCCACTCCTGGAATGTAGAAGACCGTGGTCTCCAGCTCGTTGGATTTGGTCTGCAGCGTGGCGGGGCCTTTCTTCCCGGCCAGCAGGTGAGTGGTGGAGGTGTACGCCGGCTGGAGCTTCTTCTTCTTTGGGGGGGAATCCTGGTCCAGACTGCGGATGCTGCGGTCGCAGCTCCTGAAAAGGCGCCACAGATCAAAACCTTCACTTTGTCTTCCTGTTCCAGTTGATGGTCGTCTAGAGAAGTTAACTCCAACATCACCCAAGGCAAAGAACGCCATTCAGAAAAGGTATTTTAAAAACACGAGACTCATTTATAAAGCGCATCAAAAAGCTCCACCGACATTTTTACAGTTTTCTACAGGCCCACTTTTTATTATTCTGATTTTTTTTTTTATATTTTTCTAATATGATCTATTTATGTGTTCTGTTGGCAAACTGAGTTTTACATTTTGCACTTTTTTCTAAATCCTGTTTTGCAGATTTCAACGTCTACATCAAGCATTGTAGATGTAGATGACCTAGAGGGGAAATCTATGAAGCAGGATTTTAAAACTAATCAAAGTTCAATCTTTCTATGAAACAATTTAGAACAATAAAATCTGATTAAAGTTGGAGAAAATAAATTTAAAGAAATCAAAAGAAAATAATGAGAGAAGAACTAAAAATCAAAGTTTTTTTGTTTGTTTTTAACTAAATAAAAAAAAACAAAAACATAAAACCTGAAAAAAAATATTTAAACAAATAAAATCAGGAAAAAAAAATCTGAAATAATATTTTTTTCAAAATAGAAAAAATTTGGCATAAAACCTGAAAAAAAAATGTGAACAAACAAAATCCGGGAACAAAATCTGAAATTTTTTTTTTTTTTTAAATATAAAAAAAAATACACTAGCAAGAAAATCTGAAATAAAGTTAAAAAAATTATAATAAAAAGAAGATTTGTGAAAATAAAAAAATAAAAATTGTCTAAATAAAATTTGGCACAAATTTGGAAAAAAATATTTGAACAATGAAAATCTGGGCAAAAAAACTACACAGATAATCTGAAATAAGGTTTTAAAATAAAAACTGGATTTGTGAAATCTAAACATTTGGCACAAAACCTGAAAAGAAGATTCAAACAAATAAAATCTGGGGGGAAAAAATTCTGAAAAAATTTATATATATATATAAATAAAAAACTAGAAAGAAAATCTGAAATAAGGTTTGAAAAAATAATAAATAGGATTTATGAAAAACAATTCAGAATAAAATTTGGCAAAAAATCTTAAAAAATATATCTGAAAAAATAAAATGTATAAAAGTTAAAACATTGGATAACCCGCTTTAAAATACTCCCAAAGCCTTTTTCTCTACTGAGAGGTTGTTTTGCTTTTTTTCACTTTCCATAATATTGGAACATTTGTTTTCACAGACGCTCCCAAAGAAACAGCAGCTAATCGCAGGAAGCTCAGCATCAACCTGAGCGTACCTCCTCAGGGCGATCTCCTCGTGCTCCGACTGCTGGGTGGTGGTGTGGAGGACACACTTCCCGCTGTCGATCTCCACACGCACGTCCAGCTCAAAGTCTATGTTCTTCTCCGACGCCGGGCCGCTCAAGCTGCGGTTTGTCGGCGTGCTCGGCCAGCGTTCGCTAAACAGCTGACTGACGGCGGAGAAGCCTGAGGCCTTCCTGTGAGACGCTTGGCTGAGAGATAAAAACACAGAGCAGATGGATCAGAAACATTCCTTCAGCACCTTTACTCCTTAAAGGTATAGAGGAAGATATTTTATTTCCAGATGGATCATCTAAATCAGTGGTTCTCCTAACTGTCAATCATCCTGGTGATATGTTTACGTAAGGCCGTCCTACGTGCTCGTTCCGTTAGCGATCTTTTTCTGCGCACTTTCAGGCGTATATCTGTGGTGAACTGCAGTTTCAGTCATTGAAGCTCACCTTTCTCACCGCGGTTCTTTGAAAATGGCCGAGGGTCGAAAGAGAAAAAGTGTCTACAAAGTGTATGAGAAGAGAAAGGCCTCAGAAGAGGCAGATATATCCCAGAATGCTTTGCACAGAGAGCTCTCCATGCAAAGCATTATGGGATTTGCTGTCACAGCGGCCAGCTGTCGCTTCCTGACAGTGGCGACTAATAATAAAGATGGCGGAGGCCCCGCGCGGTGGAGGAGGAGTTACGTGACCAACGGAGCAAAAAGCAGTGATCATCTGTCTGAACGGTCAGTTAACTGAGTTCACTATAAAGTTCACTATATAGTCTCCGCTTGATATAGTGATGAGTACTTGAGTAAAGAGGTCAAGTTGATACTTAAACTTTTACCAGAGTGTTTTTAAACTTCAGTATCTATACTTCTACTGAAGTAACAAATGTGTGAACTTTCGACACCACTGCACCCTATATAGTGATGGAGGGATTTAGGGGTTAGGGCGAACGTTGGGACACAGTGAGCTTGTAGGAGCTATGAGAACAGCAACTTATAACAGAGCCCACTTCTCCTCGTGCACGCTCTCGCACACATTGTAATAAGTGTTCCCTCTCGGGTACAGGGTTGTGCATGTGCATTTTTTTTGTTTTAAGTGGAAAGGACTTTTTAAAAAATTGCAAAAAGCCTCCACTATACCTGTAAACACTCCCAGTTAAGTCCAGTCCAACCAGTAACCAGCCAATCAGAGTCCAGCTGTGGCTAACTTAAACTCGTAGTTAATCATTTAAATGTCAAATCATTCTGGCTTAAACATGTTTATAAATGTACTTTTAATCAGACTATATTGTCCCAAAAGTTTGAAAATTTGTATTTAAATAAAACATTTTGTCTTAAAATCTGTAGTGAGTTTTTCGTTATTTTGTGCAGCCCAGTTAGTTCTACGTCAGCCTGAACACCTAAATTCGGCCAATCACGTATCAACGGTCATCTGTCAATCAAATGTTTTCGGTCATAGCATCTTGATTCATCAGCTAATATACGAAACGGTTGAAATAATAAATGAAAAGAAAGTTGCTAACTAGTTAGTGAGATGTTTCCGAAGAAACAGGCACAACCAAACTTGCTTGCGAACCTTCCGCCACAACAATCCCACCCCCTTGATAAACAACCCATCACATTCACTTTATTCACTGATGTAAAGTTGTGCACCACTCGGGAGAATTAAAAAATGCAGCGGTTAGAACGGCCGCTTCCTTACGACTTTAATCTGAAACTGTTCTGTTTAAAGCAGGTCTAGCTTCTAAATAAACACCCAAAGTTTGGAAAATCTCCTAGAACTATGGAGGTAGAAACGCTTCAAGATTCAAATGGACAACAAAGCGGCTCCACTCACATAGGCCTGCGGTAGCTGGTCAGTCTCTCCCGTTCAAACTCCTCCTTCTCCGAGTCCTCGGAGGACGAAGAGGACAGGTCGTCCCGCCGGTTGTCGTAGTGCTGGAAGGGAATGCTGGGTGAGAAGACGGCAGGTGTGGTGGGGGCACTGAAAACTGACTGCTGGCCCTCGACACAGGATGGAGGATGGAGGTGAGGATGAGGATGGGATGGGCCGTCGATGGTGACGGACAACAGGTCGCACTCGGACTCCTCTGGGAACTTTCAGAGAAGGACAGAAAGTCACACGTGTTGGTTTGAGACAAACAAGAACGGATCAACAGCCAGAAGATGAAGAGACGAATGAAGGAGGTAATCCAGCCACCAGAGAGGAGCCGCGACCTTTCACCCCTGGAAACATGGAGGCGTCCTCCGTCTGCAGCAGAAAACCACACCAGGCAGAGAACGGGACCCTGTTCCCACCGTTTCTAAAGCTGCATGGGGTCAAAGGTCACCTGACCGGCATTTTCTACTTAAAAAAAAAATAAAAAAATTCTGATCACTCAGCTATGGAGTGAATTTTGTGCCATTATTATTGCAAACAAAGAAAAATTTCTGTTAATCGTAATTTGAAAAAAATTACAATAGAGCACATGTGTCAAACTCAAGGCCCGCGGGCCAGATGTGGCCCGCCACGTCATTTTATGTGGCCCGCTAGAACTCCCACAGCCGTCATTTTGATGGTTCTGAGATTTTAAAGGGAAAGAACTATATTTAAAATTTAATTTATGTTGCTCATGTTAACTCAAATTTCCTGATTCTAAATTTCCTTCATTTTCACTTTTTTTTTTTTTATACAATTAAAACGTAAAAAAATAAATATGGTTAATTCTACCTCGATCCCCCACAACCGCCATTTTGACGGCTCTATTAGTTGCATTGTAAATTCTTCCTGCGGTTGATTGACGATTGGTACCATTGCCTAGCAACCAACATTCTACCTAGAACTTTTTGGCTAATATGGAAAAAGTGGCGTTCAGAAGAAACCTAACAGCGAAACAGGTTTTAGAAATGCTTCAAAATATCGATGATAGTGATTCGGGCGGAGAGGGAGAGACCGATGAGGAGGACTAGGTAGGAAGCGGCTGTGTGACATGTGTGTGTTAGAGCAACAAGCAAGCATATGTTTTCTATGCAACTGTAATTGTCACTTGAATAAGTTATAATAAATAATGAGTTATTTAACATTAAGGAGTCGTTACATTTATTTTACATTACATTCAATTACATTTAGTTACATTTATAAGTTACATCTGGCCCTTTAAGGACAGCAATTACGCTGATGTGGCCCTCAATGAAAATGAGTTTGACACCCCTGCAATAGAGGAATGAAATAATTGACGAGGCTGTGTGGGAAAATATTTCAAGTGTGGGAGGGGCTACAAGGGACGCAAGAAACACATTTATTCACTACAAAATTGTGCATAGGTATTAGTTTACACCAAGTAAGCTATGCAGAATGGGTCTAATAAAGGATAACAAATGCTGGAAGTGTAATAAATGAAAATTAAAAAAAAATTTATTTTAATTTTTAAAAAAACCAATGCTTTTATGCTTTCTTAGTAACAACATTTAAGTGAATGTGATCTGTAAAACCCAATTTGAAAAGAATAAAATTCAATCTAAAAAACAAACTTAGAAAAAATATTATCTGTAAAAAAATATTTTTTTATTATAATATACGTACAAAAAAAAAAAAAAAAACATTTTAAAAATAGCATCAATTGAAATCTGAAAATGGAACAAGCTTTTTCCCCAGATTTCATTTTACAGAAGATCTTTCTTGCAAAAATAATGGAACAAAATTCCCTCCATAAATCCAAGAAGACGCTGAGCTGCAGAGGTTCCGGTGACGTCTGCTATGAGACGCCAACCAGCAGCTAAACTGTAGACCTGAGGCGCCGCATGCAGAGTTAGAGATCAGACAGGATGGGAGGGGTAAGAGAGGCGGACGAATTCATCATGCAGATTCATGACAGGACGGCGGCCCGAGGTATTCACTAGATGTTTTAATGGTGGAGGCTAAAAACAGGCTTCTGTTATAAGAACAGAAGATACGGATGCATTAGGAGATCTGATCGTAATGATTGATTGTGTGGATGAAACAGAAGCTGCATCGTCCTGCTCTGATTCTGCATGTTCCAGCTCCAACCAGCAGCTAACAGCCGATCACCGAGGAAGGAAGAACCACAGGAACCAACGCTGAGGATTTCACGTCAGCAGATACCTTAAAAACCTCTCCTGGGCTGACGGGTAAGGTTGACGGGTCCAAAGCCTGACAATCATCATTCAGTTAAATAAAACCATCATTACAACAGAAAACAAACCTGCAGTCAGCTAAACACATCAGCCAACATGGAGGTCGGCTAAAGTACATGAACATGAAACACAATGAACTCACAAACATGGAACGAGTTCAGGGTTCCTTCTAGGTTCCCTGAACCCTGACAGGCTAATGAGGCTCAGCTGTCCCTGTTCACCAGCTGTTTGATATAAAAGGCAGAAGTTTACCGGATCCTGGATGCTGAAGGTGACCCGGGGTCCAGGGGAGGACGCGTCCACACGGACTTCTGGGAAATCATCCACATCCCCCATCTTGGAGCTGCAGAGACAGACGTTAGCAGCAGCAGCAGCAAAACTTTTCATCTCAGATTATCCTCCATTTTCACTTCTGTGGCTGCGGTGAATTTATCTCGGCTATAATCGATCAGCAGCGCCATGATCACATCCAAGGACTGCTTTAACACCTCCTGTTAGTTTACAGGGACTAAAACTAGTTTTATTTCATACTAATAAATTGCAATTGAGAAAATAATTTTAATAATGTGAGAAAACAGCAAAAAGTTTAAGAATTTTTTTAAAAAATTAAAAAGTTTTTTTTTAACCAGAATTTATCATTTGAAATTGTACATTTTCCACAATTCTCTGTTCAGTTTTACCAATCTAATTCTTCGCTTTTTTGTTTCCAGATCACATTCTCTTCCCCTCTGAGGGCGGGCTTTCTATTGGTCCGCTGGACGTTAGCAACAATGTTTTTTTTTGTTTGTTTTTTTTTTTTAAAAAGGGAAAAAATGAAACAAAATTTGGAAAACGTTTGGTCAAAAACAGGTTTGGGGAGTAGAGTTGCTGTTTTATCAAATTTTCCTTTTTGAAAAAGTTGTTTTCAAATTTAAATTTTCCAAATTTTTTTTTATTTATTTAAATTTATAAAACTTGTTCATTGCAACAATAATGGAATAAAATTTACTCTGTAGTGAATGTGATAAAAAAAAACACATTTTTTTTAAAATAAATAAATGTCAGTTCTTTGTTGACAGAAAAAAAATGTCAAAAGATATTTGAAAAATAATTTGATAAAACAGCCAATTTACTCTCAAAACCTGTTTTTGACCAAAAGGTTTCTAAATTTTCCTGTTTTGAAAAAGTTTTTTTCAAATTTCAATTTTCCAAATTTTTTAATTGTATTTATTTCCATTTATAAAACTTGTTGACTGTAACAATAATGAAATAAAATTCACTCCAAAGAATGTGAAAAACAAAAAACTTAATAAATATCAGTGTTTTTGTTTAAAAAAAATGCATTTGAATAAAGTAAATTATTTGAAATAAAATTTAATAAAACAGCAATTTCTCTCTGAAAACCTGTTTTTCATCAAAAGTTTTCTACATTTTCCTGTTTTGAAAGTTTTTTTCAAATTTTAATTTTCCAATTTTTTTATGTATTTATTTCCATTTATAAAACTTGTTGACTGTAACAATAATGAAATAAAATTCACTCCAAAGAATGTGAAAAACAAAAAACTAAATAAATATCAGTGTTTTTGTTTAAGAAAATGCATTTGAATAAAAGAAATTATTTGAAATAAAATTTAATAAAGCAGAAATTTTACTCTCAAAACCTGTGTTTGATCAAAAGTTTTCTAAATTTTAATTTTCTAAATTTTGTCCATTTATTTTGATTAATAAAACTAGCTGATTGCAACAATAATGGAATAAAATGCACTCCATACATGATGTGAAAGGTTTGCATTAAAACCGGGCTACCTCATGTGAGGAAACCAAATGTTTACCTTTGTTTGTCGACCCGCTTCGGAGGAGGCCGCCCCGCGGCTGCAGAGATGCTTTTGGAGCGGTTGTAGCTGGGCTTGTAGCCGAGGCCCCATTTATCCTTCAGAGAGGCGGCCTGTGTGACGGGAGAAAACGTGTCATTGGTGACATACGCCAGCTTCGGATGATTGGCCCAGTCTGACGCTGGACTGTACCAACTGAGAGCAGTGAAACATGGTTTACCCTCATGCTTGAGCGACGCAGCTTCTTCCTGACGTCTCTCCTGATGTCCTGGACAGCCACCGATTCCAGCTGCTGGTACCGCTGGATCTCCTGGTTGATGGTTCCCTCGCTGGCTCCCAGTTTCCTGCAGCAAACGGGCGGCCATGTTGTATGCAGGGAAGTGAAATACTCCGCTCAGAGGTCGGAAACTTACTTGAGGTCGTCGATAACCTTGGCCTGTTCGTTCAGCTCCCGGATGTCCACCACCCTCTTGGTGACCTTCCTGCCCCGAGCGTCGATCACCTGGTTCCCCATCATCGGCCTGCGGGGGTCCAGGTTCTCCTGTTCAATGCAAACCAAGGAGACGCGTCAGAACGGATGTGATGAAGCCGATGCCAGAGATCCCAATTAAAGCCCAGAGTTCCCTGTAAACCTCCACTAAGATCTAATGACACCAAGATTGAGTGATTGATCCAAACACCAGGAGCAGCTCCACACACCTCCACCCCAATCAGTGAAGAAGGAAAGGCCCGCCTCCACGGCAGGACTGAAGCCGGCTCTAAAGCAAAGAATCTCAACTAATGAGGATCATCAGGGTTTTAATCACAGAGAGATCGGTGCTGATTGGTGTTCTGGGATCCAGAGGTGAAAGTGACTCAGCAAACCCAGAGGACAGTTCCCACCACTTAGAGGGGGGGGTCTACATACACAGGCCCAGGAGAGGGGTCTTTGGGCCCTGCTAGAGCAGGGTGGTGCAGAGTTTAAGCAGTCCTCAGGGACAGAGACGCTCTGAGGCCTGGGGCTGAGGCCCAGGATGTGGTTTACCAGGCGCCTCTTTAAGGTCAGCCGAGGGCTGAACTGGTTCTCTGAGCTCTGCGAACAATGGGGGGAATTCATCATCATCATCCATCAGCACATCATCCTCTATCTATCTATCTATCTATCTATCTATCTATCTATCTAAGACGTCAGTAGCTATTTTTAAAAAAACAGGACATGATGTCATAAAGGCGGCGCTCCATCTGAGAACCAGACTGATCATGAACAGGTTGGATGAGTCCTGACCATGTGGATGGTGGGCGACATGGTGTCGGACTCGTCCTCGTCCGACAGGTCCCCCATGTTCACAGAGTTCAGGTCAGTGATGTCGTCGGGGTCCTCCTCGCCCGTCAGCGACGTCAGCGTGTTTCCCAAGGCGTTGAGGCGCTTGCCGATGTTCGGGTCCATGTGAACGTCGATGCCGCACATTTTCCAGAGCACGTTCAGAGTCCAGCTACCGGCGCTGCTGCTCTCTGAGGGTCAGAGGAGAAAAAGCCTGAGGAAGAGTCCCGCTGCTGGTACACCGATCGCCGTTTTCACTAAAAGCTGCTCTGACCTGCAGACGGCTGCCCCGTGGTCCTGGAGCAGACCTCGTAGGTTCCATCAGGGACCAGGCCTGTTTCCACGACAACAGACAGAAGCAACATTTAGGCAATAACTGCTGATAATCCCAGGAACCCTGCGACGTCTTGCCCACTTACATGCGTTAATGACCAAGTCTCCCCGGACCTCAGGCTTCCAGTCGTCCCAGGACGTCTCGAAGCCCTCTGCGAAGCGGATGCAGAAGTTCTTGAAGTGTCCTTTACTCACCAGAGACTCCGAGGAGCAGGCGGTGATCAGCGTGCTCTCGATGGTCAGGACCAGAGCTGAGCCAGTGTCGAAGTCAATGCTGTGGTTGGCCTGGTGGCAGAGGGCTCAGAGTCAGGGGCTGGGGGGGAGGGGAGGTTCAGCAGCAGGAAAACAAACCAACTTTTTAAAGGCCAGAGCTGCTGGGTGACATTTCACTCTGAAATGATGAAACCCTGATTAAAATCCTTCACTTTTAGACACACTTCAAGGTGAAATGCCAGCAGCAGTTTATAGCGGTTAGGTTGGATCAATCGCAGCCATCAAACTCTGATTTCAGCTCCAGAAATGCTGATCTGATCATCATCATCCTCCTCCTCCGAAGCAGAGCGAGGAGAAACATGTCCGCCTCTGATGAACATCAGACCCCATTTGAAGGAGCAGTTATTGCTGGATTTGAAACATTCTGGGTTATGAGAAGCAGCCCGTGCAACAGAGACCTCCAACCAGGAAGAAAGGCCCCAGCAACAGGTCCGCCGCTGCACACAGACAAGTCAAACACACCACAGACACCAGCGGAGCGCCACTCGCCGTGGCGCCGGGAGGAAAAAGTTCATTTTTTACGCTCTCCAGAAGAGCCCCACAATCATTTCAGTCCCACAACAAACCAGCAGAGAGGATGTAAGAGACTGCAGGTTACTTTGTGGGGGGGTTTGGGTTGGCTCTCTGACGTGCCGACCCCTGCTGCAGAGCTCCCCTCCTGCCCAGCCGCTGCCTGGCCTTTCTATGGAAACAGGTGTGAGACCTTTAACCTTCAGACATCCGTTAGCAGAAGCTTTTAAAGCAGGTGAAGCTTAAACTACGTCAAGAGGAGCTCTGGATCCTAAACTTTTCCATTTTAAATACAAATTTTTTCTTGTTTTTTTTTACTGCTGTTATTGTTTATTTTACTTGACTCCAGAATAGTCAAGTAAAATAAATAGAATAGAATACTTATTACTTATTTTTTTAGAGAACTTTTTACTTGTATTTCTCATATTTTAAAAACTGACTCGTTAGTTTTGTTTCATTTAAGCTCATTTTCATTATGGCCTGTTGGTATTTAGAGAATTAAAACCATCAAAATAATTAGTTTCATCCAAACAATTAGTTTCTTTGTGGTTGCACTCTGTGCTGCCCCAACCAATTGGTTACCACAAACAAAAATTTATAGTTTTCGAAGATGATTAGTTATACAGGTGCTGGTCATAAAATTAGAATATCATGAAAAAGTAGATTGATTTCAGTAATTCCATTTAAAAAGTGAAACTTGTATATTATATTCATACATTACATACAAACTCATATATTTCAGATGTTTATTTTGTTTAATTTTGATGATTACAAATGACAACAAATGAAAATCTCAAATTCATCATATCAGAAAATTAGAATATTGCTGAAGACCAATAAAAACAAAGGATTTATAGAAATGTTGGCCAACTGAAAAGTATGAACATGAAAAGTATGAGCATGTACAGCACTCAGTATTTAGTTGGGCCTCCTTTGGCCTGTATTACTGCAGCAATGCGGCGTGGCATGGAGTCGATCAGTCTGTGGCACTGCTCAGGTGTTATGATAGCCCAGGTTGCTCTAATAGTGGCTTTTAGCTCTTCTGAATTGTTGGGTCTGGTGTATTGCATCTTCTTCTTCACAATACCCCATAGATTTTCTATGGGGTTAAGGTCAGGAGAGTTTGCTGGCCAATTAAGAACAGGGATACCATGGTCCTTCAACCAGGTACTGGTAGCTTTGGCACTGTGTGCAGGTGCCAAGTCCTGTTGGAAAATGAAATCTGCATCTCCAAAAAGTTGGTCAGCTGCAGGAAGCATGAAGTGCTCTAAAACTTCCTGGTATGTGGCTGCGTTGACCCTGGACCTCAGAAAACACAATGGACCAACACCAGCAGATGACATGGCACCCCAAACCATCACTGACTGTGGAAACTTTACACTGGACTTCAAGCAACGTGGATGAAGTGCCTCTCTTCTTTTCCTCCAGACTCTGGGACCTTGATTTCCAAAGGAAATGCAAAATTTACTTTCATCAGAGAACATGACTTTGGACCACTCACCAGCAGTCCAGTCCTGTTTCTCTTTAGCCCAGGCAAGACGCTTCTGACGCTGTCTGTGGTTCAAGAGTGGCTTGACACAAGGAATGCGACAGCAGAAACCCATGTCTTTCATACGTCTGTGTGTGGTGGTTCTTGAAGCACTCACTCCAGCTGCAGTCCACTCTTTGTGAATCTCCCCCACATTTTTGAAGGGGTTTTGTTTCACAATCCTCTCCAGGGTGCGGTTATCTCTCTTGCTTGTACACTTTTTTCGACCACATCTTTTCCTTCCCTTCGCCTCTCTATTAATGTGCTTGGACACTGAGCTCTGTGAACAGCCAGCCTCTTTAGCGATGACCTTTTGTGTCTTGCCCTCCTTGTGCAAGGTGTCGATGGTCGTCTTTTGGACAACTGTCAAGTCAGCAGTCTTCCCCATGATTGTGTAGCCTATAGAACTAGACTGAAAGACCATTTAAAGGCTTTTGCAGGTGGTTTGAGTTAATTAGCTGATTAGAGTGTGGCACCAGGGGCCATCAATTTTGAACCTTTTCACAATATTCTAATTTTCTGATATGATGAATTTGAGATTTTCATTTGTTGTCATTTGTAATCATCAAAATTAAACAAAATAAACATCTGAAATATATGAGTTTGTATGTAATGTATGAATATAATATACAAGTTTCACTTTTTAAATGGAATTACTGAAATCAATCTACTTTTTCATGATATTCTAATTTTATGACCAGCACCTGTACATTTAAGAAAATGATGTCTAAGAAAGTTTTCATCCAGAATTGTAGAAAAATGTTCTTTTAATAGGTTAGTGCAGTAAAGCTTCTGTCCTTTTTATTTTTATACTTTAAGTAGTTTTAAAAATGGTACTTTTACACTTTGACTGGAGTGAAAAGCTCTAACTTCTATAAAGTGTTTTTAAACAGCAGGATTTATACTTCTACTGGAGTAATAAAAATTAATACTTTTGACACCTGTAATAGATTTAAGTTAATGATTAATCCATCACTAAATCAGCTGATTAATTCAATAATCGAATAATTGTTTCAGCCCTGGTCTCCAGGGCGACGTTCTCAGTGGGTTAGGATATCACTGCCAGTTTATTCATTTCCTTCACCATTACTAATATCTGTTTCCGGCAGGTCAATTTGGAACTTGGTCAACATATAAAATC